TCTCAAAACAGTGAACTAAACAATACATTTACCAAAAGTGAACAATTTACTAGCCCCCCCGCCCCTCAAATGCTACGTCCCTGATTCAAACGTGCAGAGCACACAGCGAGTCTGCTGCGGAAGGTGCGCTGGTCCTGCTAACGTAAGACTGGCGAGTCTATTACGTTAGCCAAAATCAGTGATCATAAGTTATCGGTCCCCACTCCCTTGTGATTTGTAAGAGCACCCTTCCCTTTGATTGGCCTAATTTTCATTTTAGTAAAGACAAGAACAGCCCTTTTTTGAGAATGTGCTAGTTAAAATGGTACGTGGTCGCATTTGTATTGTGCCGCACAATACACAGCCTCCTAAGTCAATGACGCGCGAAAAACTCCCGGTTGTGTGCGCGGGTGCCGGGTGGCCAGAGCGGAGCATGGGAGGTGGGAGCTGTCCTATGTGTTAAAATGAGCAGTCAATAAGCCATGGTGTCGAGACTTAACCCGCCATGAAGATGCAGAGGGGGGTGGGCGTCAGCCAGCGAAAGTGTCCCTGATTTGGAGTTGGGAGAGTTGGCAACCCTAATTGTGCGAGTGCTTTGTCATGTAAGTTAGCAGCTACTGTTACTCAGCAGCTGCTGAGCAGCAGTTTGTAACTTATGTTCAAAATGAATGAGTACATCATGAATCCATTTTCCAAACAGTTTTTTTTACTTAACCTGAATCACTACGGTACGCCTATAATAAGTGTTCATATTCTGACGATTTTATCCCGGGGTCGGCTCGGCTGCGGCGGAGTTACCCCGTGCCTGCGTGATTCGCCATAGATATTAACTGAGTGAAGTAGCTCCGGCTACAGTGTTATTCCGCAACATTGTGCACACACAGACAGCAGCATGCCAAAATACAGTTCTCTTTCTTGCTTGAACTTACAATAACACACACAATTATGCCAAAATGTCCATTTGTTGAGTATCTTTTTGATAACATAAGAGCAGCAGTCTCACGATGAACGTGAAGAGTTGTGACAGAATGAGACGCGTGTGAGATCTGCGTCTCTGTCAGCTGTTCTTAAAGAGACCGCAGCCACTAAAGCTTTCTGTCAGTAAAGCTAATCAAAGAACAAAAACAACAGAACATTTCTCACTGCTCTTGACTAAAGAACTTTTGTAGCTTAAATAATGATTAGTCTATATTTAATGAATAATTTATGCAGTGCAGGCTGTTTGATCACTTTATTCAATTTTGATATGTCCGAGGCCCTTTGTTAGACAGTAAGGGCTCAGGTAAATATGACTTCTTTTTTTTTTTTTTACTATTATACTCTTGAGACAAAGTAATAATTTACTTTTTAAAAGATGCAGCTTTGTTTTGTTTGAACAATGTTTAATTCATGTTGTGAATTAAAAACCTTAAGTTTAAAAGTGTTTTTGTGTTTGTTTTGTTAAAGCAATTCACATATAGGGATTCCTATGTACCGTCATCCCTGCCACCCTGCCAAGACCTCTCGCCACCCCTTTGCCCCCCCATGTAAAATTTTCTAGATCCGCCACTGGTCGGTAAGTAACAGTTAATTAGATAACCTAATGAGTGCTATTATTATATACAGATGGACATATATTTAGACATTAGTAATATATTTATAGCCGCTGTAATGTAGGTTAACTGTTATGCTGCCGCCTTTAGCAAACTATGCTATAATCTGATATACTACTGATCATTGTCTTAAATACATATGATCTGTCACTGGGTAGTAATTAAGGAATTAAAGTACTAAGCATATGCTTAGTACTTTTTAAATGCTTTATTTAAGATTGAGATTGTTTTGTTACTGATAGGTACATTTAAATTGTCTTTGTTCTGTCTGCCATTTTGTAGATGTTGAGCTGGTTGCATTACATTACATTACATTACATGTCATTTAGCTGACGCTTTTATCCAAAGCGACGTACAATAAGTGCATTCAACCATAGGGTACAAACTCAGGAGAACAAGAAACAAGAAAGTGCAATTTCCTCAAATAAGCCAATTTACAATTTGCTATAGATGAGTGACGTTACAAGTACAATTTAAGTGCTACAATTTGTTAGTCATTAGTCGAGGTAGAGTCTGAAGAGGTGTGTCTTTAGTTTGCGGCGGAAGATGTGAAGGCTCTCTGCGGTCCTGGTGTCTTCAGAGAGCTCGTTCCACCATTTCGGCGCAAGGACAGCGAAGAGTCGAGACCTAGTCGAGTGTTTTGCTCTCAGTGAGGGAGGGACGAGTAGTTTTGCAGATGCAGAGCGGAGAGTGCGGGTTGGGATGTAGGGTTTGACCATGTCCTGGATGTAAGCTGGACCCGATCCATTCACAGCATGGTACGTGAGCACCAATGTTTTGAACTGGATGCGGGCGGCCACCGGTAGCCAGTGAAGAGAGCGGAGGAGTGGAGTAGTGTGGGAGAATTTCGGAAGGTTGAAGACCAGTCGAGCTGCTGCATTCTGAATGAGCTGCAGAGGTCGAATGGCGGTGGCAGGGAGACCAGCCAGGAGGGAGTTGCAGTAGTCCAGGCGGGAGATGACAAGAGCCTGAATCAGTACCTGCGCTGCCTTCTGAGTGAGAAGGGGACGTATTCTCCTGATATTGTAGAGCGTGTATCTACAGGATCGCGTTGTCGCGGCAATGTTGGGAGTCAGGGAGAGTTGGCTGTCGAGTGTGACGCCGAGGTTCTTAGCGGTCGAGGTGGGCGTTAGTACGGAGTTCCCAAAGTTGACTGTCAGGTCCTGGGTAAGCGAATCTTTTCCGGGAAAGAGAAGTAGTTCAGTCTTGTCGGGGTTGATTTTCAGATGGTGGGCGGACATCCACTGAGAGATGTCAGTAAGACAGGCAGAGATCCGAGCCGCCACCTGGGTGTCCGAGTGAGGAAAGGAGAGAATTAGTTGGGTGTCATCGGCATAGCTGTGGTAAGAGAAGCCATGCGAGCGAATGACAGCGCCAAGAGAGTTTGTGTAAAGCGAAAACAGGAGGGGACCCAGCACGGAACCCTGAGGAACTCCAGTAGTAAGAGGACAAGGTTCCGACACAGATCCTCGCCAGGTTACCCGGTAGGTGCGACCATCGAGGTAGGACGAGAGAAGGGAGAGAGCAGAGCCTGTGACACCAAGTTCCTGAAGGGAGGAAATAAGGATCTGGTGGTTGACCGTGTCAAATGCAGCAGAAAGGTCCAGAAGGATGAGGACAGAGGAGAGAGAGGCGGCTCTAGCAGTGTGGAGTTGCTCAGAGACAGCAAGGAGAGCAGTCTCTGTAGAGTGGCCTGCCTTGAAACCTGACTGGTGGGGGTCAAGGAGGTTGTTACAGTGGAGATAAGAGGAGAGTTGATTAAAGATAGCACGTTCAAGGGTTTTGGACAAAAAGGGAAGAAGAGAGACCGGTCTGTAGTTGTTTTCTTCAGAAGGGTTGAGGGTGGGTTTCTTCAGGAGAGGGTTGACTCTAGCCTCCTTTAGAGAATTGGGAAAACAGCCAGATATCAGAGCGTTGTTGATGAGACAGGTGAGGAACGGAAGAAGGTCAGGTGCAATAGATTGTAGAAGATGTGATGGAATGGGGTCAAGAGGGCAGGTGGTCGGACGGGCAGAGGTTACTAGGGTAAGAATTTGGTTAGGAGAGAGGGCGGTGAAAGAGGAAAGTGAGGGCGAAAGAGGTGAGGTCGGTGGGACGCGAGAAGTAGGAGGTGGGTTTGAGAAGGAGGAGCGTATGTCAGCTATTTTCTTGGCGAAGTAGTTGACAAAGTCTCCCGGAAGAAGGGTGGAGGGGGGAGGAGGGGTAGGGGGTTCGAGGAGATTGGAGAAGATCGAGAAGAGTTTTTTGGGGTTAGAGAATGAGGATTCGATTTTGGATTGGTAGAAGGAGCTTTTGGCAGCAGAGATAGAAGCAGAAAACGAGGAGAGGAGAGATTGAAATTCGAGCAGGTCCTCAGGTCGTTTATATTTACGCCATTTCCTTTCCGACGCTCGCATGGTGGCCCTCATGGCACGGACCGGTTGAGACAGCCACGGAGCCGGAGGGGATTTGCCAGTCCGTCGTGTCGTAAGAGGGCAGAGAGAGTCTAGAGAGGAGGAAAGAGTTGAGAGGAGAGACTCTGCAGCAGCGTTTGGATGCAAGAGTGAGAAGGAATCAGTTGAAGGGAGGGCTGATAGAACAGAGGATGCCAGCGAGGAGGGAGAGAGGGAGCGAATGTTGCGACGAGCCGGTATGGAGTTAGTCAATGAGGGAGGTTTGTTAGTTATAGAGAGTGGAAGGGAGTAAGAGATGAAGAAGTGATCAGACACATGAAGTGGAGTTACAGAGAGGTTAGTGGTAGAGCAGTTTCTAGTAAAGATGTAGTCAAGGTGATTGCCGGCTTTGTGAGTAGGAGGAGAGGGACTGAGTGACAGAGCGAAGGAAGAGAGTAGGTGTAAGAGGTCAGGTGACTTCTCTGTCTGGATATTGAAGTCACCCAGGAGGATGAGCGGAGGTCCATTTTCGGGGAAATTAGACAGGAGAATGTCCAGTTCTTCCTAGAAATGACCTAAGGAGCCTGGCGGACGGTAGAGGACAATGATGGTTAATTGTACCGGGTGAGTGATTGTTACAGCATGGAATTCAAAGGACAATGGGGTGGATGGTGGTAGAGGGTAGAGAGAAAAGCTCCATTTGGGTGAAATGAGTAGACCTGTGCCACCACCCCTACCAGTGGGCCTGGGAGTGTGGCTGAAGGAGAAGGCGGAGGAGAGAGCGGCTGGGGTGGATGTGTTCTCAGGTGTGATCCAGGTCTCGGTCAGAGCGAGGAAGTCGAGTGACTGCTGGATAGCGAAGCCGGAGATGAAGTCAGCCTTGCGAGTCGCTGACTGGCAGTTCCAGAGACCTCCTGTGACGAGGTGCTGGACGTGTGTGGAGCGGGTGGGATAGGTGAGAGAGGAGAGGTTACGATAGAGAGCAGATCTGGCCCGAGGCCTGTAGTATCTGCGGGAAGAGATTCGAACAGGCACGGGTAAAGGGGTCAAACACATTATTAAAAATAGCAGAAGAAGGCGCCGCATTCAGCCGCCCCGAAGAAGGATGGTTGCAGATCAAGCATCCTCCTCTGTATTGACATCACTGTCCCCAACTTCATCCCATTCATCCCATTCATCCTTGGTAGTGCCACAGACTGCACTATCCCCAGCTTTATCCCATTCATCTGATTCCAGCGTTATTCTGGAGTCCACAAGAAAAAGGAGGAACCCAACAGGGTTAATGGACCAGAATGAAGCAAAACAGGTAAGCTTTGAATAAATACATTTGAAATCCTAAATTAATTTGTTTTTTTTGTAAATGTGTTTTGTAAATGTATTCTCAGTATAAAGTAATGTCATTAGAAAAGTGAAATTCTTTTAAAAAAAACACTAAATTACCGTAAGCATGCCATAACAATGTAATATTTCTTACATCATCACAGACTGCAAGACTGCAAAGAATATGGATGAGTTTCTGTCAGCAACTGAATCTGAGTCTGAAGACAACCAGCTCAAGACAACCGTTCCTCCTTTGCATCGGTGAGCAAAAGAAGAATATCCAAAGGTTCTACCTTATTATCGACCGAAAACCAATCCCGTGGAAGGCACACACATCAGTGGCAGCTTTTGATGAACTGTTCAAAGCTCACTACGTCTTCAGTCTCTCATATGACGAAGCTTTTTGTAATTTTTACACATTCATCCAAACCACTATATACAACATCGATGTCGGAAGAGCAAAGGAGAGCCTGCGTGTTAAAGAACTCCGAGCACGACTGCTACAGCGAAGTGCTGTAACCGATAAACAGCCTTGTTCAGATGTTCACGTGTTTTGTCTGTAAAACACACCACAAAACATGTGTGGTTCTTTGTCAACATTTAAAATTCCAACATGGTTTATATCCTGGCAAAAAGTTGAGTTTAAAATGTGGAGAGCTCCATTGCCCATTATCATTTTGTACTTATAGTGGCTTCCGAAAGCACCTCACCAAGGTGCATAGACAGGTTGATCAAGAGATTTATATTCTTCATGATGTTTCTACTCAGCGAAAATGTGAGGCGGAATGTTAAAGTGATTCCCCAAATGTTGTTGCAAAAGTCAGAAAACTCTGTTGATACAAGTCAACTATCGTCAATGTGTGGATCAATTGTTGCGCATTTGCAAGCATCAGGTCTCTCTGAAAGTGCTGTCCAAACGATTGTTTGTTCAATGGAAGAAGTTGTCAATGAGGTTAAAAGTCAGGCAAAAAATGCTGTTCTTAAAACAATGTCTTCTGAAAATACAAGTTCAGACACTCCAGGATGCAGAATAGATGATTGTTTTGATCAATTAGGTAATCCTTTTACAGCGTTAAACACAGAGTCAAAAAGTCGTAAATATTATAATGAAAAATGGGAAATAGTTGAACCTAAAGAATGTGTCCTTGGTGTGAGGCTGGATTTGCGCAGAGATAGAATAACAGGGGTATACAGTGAGGTTCCTGTAACGGACAAGTGTACGTATGTACCCATTCTGAGTACACTTAAATCCATATTCAAAAATTACCAAGTAAGAGAAAGCTTTCTACGGGACAAACAGAGTGAAAATGGCATTTACAAAGACATCAATGACGGGTCATATTGCCAAAATCATGCCCTGTTCTCACAGCAAAAACATGCACTACAGATTCTACTATATTACGATGACTTTGAAACGGCTAACCCTCTCGGTTCCAAAAAGGGGATCCACAAACTAGGTTGTGTCTACTTTACTTTTTAGAAGCCAAAGGCTTAAAGCTTCCTTCTTTTGAACAACCATTGTTTGGCTCAGTTATTCAAGTAACGGGAGATAATTTGGCTTTAAATGGCTTGTTGGGCTTTGTGGAATCATTCAGTGCAACCCATTTCTGTAGATTTTGTTTAATCAGTAAGCAAGAAATTCAATCGATATTTACTGAAGATCATCCTGGGTTAATTTTCCGTTCCAAAGAGCTTTATACTGAACATTGTAAGGCACTAAATGAAAATCCTGAACTGCGGTCAATATATGGTCTTAAAAAGTCATGTGTCCTCAACTCCTTACAGTATTTTCATTGCACTGACAACTATGCTGTTGACCTAATGCACCTAATGATCTGCTGGAGGGTGTGGTACAGTACGAACTAAAGCTGAATTTTGAGTACCTTGTTAAACAGGGCTATATCTCTTTGAACACATTGTCAAACAGGATTCAGAGCTTTAATTATGGTTACACGGAGCGTAAAAACAAACCAAGTGTGATAAAAATGGATGATAAGAGCAAAGATCTAGGTTTCAGGAATCAGGAAACATTTATTGCCAAAATATGTCAGACATACAAGGAATTTGTCTTGGCGGTTGGTGCGTGACAGTAGACAATGTAACAATAGACAACAAGACAGCAGTGCACAAAATAAAGTAAAATGAAATGCTAATGCAATGGGTTAGTAGAATAAGGCTATGGGTTAGTATAAAACGAGAATAAAGTTAAAAATTTTAAATATTAAAGTTAAAAAATATTAAGGATAAAGTGCACTAGCGAACAAGTAACAACTTGACGAGGTGACAAGTGACGACGGGCTCTGTTCATGAGCTCGATTGCCGACGGGAAGAAACTGTTCGTGTGGCGGGAGGTCTTAGTCCTGATGGACCTCAGCCTCCTGCCAGATGGAAGGGGCACAAACAGTTTTTGTCCGGGGTGAGCGGGGTCGGCTACGATCTTTTTAGCTCTCTTTGAATGCCATCCAGTCATGGTGTCTCCTGCGTAGCGCTCCACTAATGTTTGGTGATGTCATTGAAAAGAATAACAGTCACTGGAACTTTCTGCTTTTGATCCAGATTGTCAATATAGTGTTTTCCTACAACATAAGTGATGGAATGATATGTTACTTGAAACATCTGATCTGTGATCACCATACTCTGTTCAAAGCATTGTTTCCTGACAAGAGGTTGATGGTACACTATCCTAGATGCATACAAAAAATTGGCCCTCTTATCCATATGTGGTGCATGCGATTTGAAGTTAAACACAATTTTTTCAAAAGATGTGGCAATAATTTTAAGAATCTCACTAAATCATTAGTGAAACAACATCAGTGTCAATTGGCATTTAACTATGAAAATTATTGCTTTAGAAGGTTTGAATTTGGTCCTACATCTTTCAAAAACATCTGCAACTTGCAAGGTGGGGAAGAAATTAGTGAGACATTACATTTGGACGCCTGTTCAAATGTTACAAGTACAAGGTGGGTCAGATATTACGGTACTGAGTACCAGGTTGGGTTGTACTAATGCACTGGATGTACCGATGATCTTCCTGTGTTCAAAAAGATCTGTGATATTATAATATATGAACAGCGTGCTTTCATAATATCCTGTAATGTACAAACAATGTACTATGATGACCACTTTAGTGCATACTGTATAGAAGACCAAATGAATGTGTTTTCTGTCATATCTGTGCAGGCACTGACTTATTTTAGACCATTTGACAACCAATGCTCTAATGACAATAGTCAAACAGCGCACATAGGGCCTTATTGGTACATTTAGATAAATGTACAGCTATGAAAAAAGATTTGGTAATGTTGATGCATTTGAAGAAATAAAAATGTTAAAGTAGTGAACTTGTCATTCGTATTTTTTATTGACTAAGATTTCTAATTATTGACATTTCATTTAAAGATTGTTTTTGGTGTGGGGGGGCAGCAATAACACTTTATAATGTTAATGAGGCAACTCCTTTTATAGTTTGCACATCACACTATAAGAGTTAATTAATTACTCCGATGAGTATTAATTTCTAACACTACCCACTGGTGTTGAGAAACTAACGCTTGAGTATTGTTAAATTTCAACTATATAAGAGTTAAAATTAACTCTAACAGTGTTAAAATGGCAACACTTTAAAAAGTGTTACATTGACACCGTGGAGTGTGGACCCCATGGGACACTTTAAAAGTGTTAAAATTAACTCCAATAGTGTTAATTTGAGTCTGTCCATCTTGCTGTGTATAGAACTAGGAGTTTTATTATAAGTGTGTGAATGTGTATGAAAGAATCATTATATATCCATTGTTGTCAGATATTTGATCAATTGAAGCAGTGAAATGTGGAACACTCAGAAGTTTATTAAACGACAAATAAACCAACAGAACTTTACGAAGATCACGACATGCAGCGGCTTTCCCGATGTTCTCTGCATCGGAACACTGTACAGACATGGACAGTATGAGAGACAGTGTGTCTGACACTGTGTGAGACACGAGAGAGTGTTTGAGAGAGTATGAGAGACAGTGGGAGACAGTCCGTGGGACAATATGTGAGACAGTCTGCGGGACAGTGGATGTTCGGCTGCAGTGTGTGGTGTTCATCACGTAATGTTTCGGCTCGGGGAAATCTTGTAAATAAATGATTCCTTGTCCTCAGCATCTGGCGCTCGAACAGGACGTGATCACAGCTAAACGGGTCTCTTTGATCTAGGAGAAGTTTCTCCCTATAAAACGTTAATCTAACTGATATCGCTCCTTCATCAATGAGGAAGTGAGCTGCCCCTTTTTCGGGGGTAGTGATGAACTAATCCAGCAGCTCGAATAAACCTGGGCCGGAGCAGGTTCAAGTTTTTCGATGTGTTGCTATGGTGATTTAGAGAAACCTGCTTCGAGGAACTGAAAAGCCTGATCTACGCCATCTCATACTGAAAATTATCCGGCTAACTCAGTTAGCCACGTCCGAGGAACAGGGCCCAGGAGCGATCACACTCCTGTGACCAATCCTGCTTCAGACTGAAGTTAGGACCTTGCACCTCATTAGCATAAAGACACATAAATGAAGAAATAAAGAAATGTAGGTGAACAGAAATGTAGAAATATATATGTATTTGTTTATGACCTGGTTGATTATCATCGCTTATTATTTCTTCTAAAGAGGCACACCCCATTTATGGATTTGTTTCGACATTTATTTATTTAATCTTTTATTTATGTATTTCTATATTTATTTCAACATTCATGTATTCATTCATTATTACTAATTTATTATTACATATTTCTTAAATCATTTATACATTTATTTATTTATACTTCAAGTTATTGTCCTTCATAAATAGCAGGGTAGTATGTTTAAACAAAGTTGATTACTTTGGATCATATTAAGTCCATGTGTGTCACGACAGCAACGCCGTGATCAAGTTGTTGGTGTGCGCGGCCGTATGTTGGTGTTTTTCCAGGAGTCATGACAACGGCCGTGGACCTTGAGGACGCTCAGCTGCTGCCAATTACACACCTGGCTCCAGTTCCCGATCAGCGGGGTATTTAGGAGCCGTCCGGAGATCCAGTCCCTGCCGGATCGTTACGTGCCAGGACTTCGCCTGAGACTACCGTCATTCACGCTGCTGGATTCCTCCCCACCAAGCCCCAGAAACCAGAACGTCTCGGACTACTGGTGTTTTTTCGTTATTTTTGAATCTACGTGAATAAGCTATTCTTTATTCTTCCCACCAGTCCAGTGTGCATTTGGGTCCAGTTCGAGCTTGACGTGACAATGTGTGGTTCAAATAGCTGATATTGTGATATGTCGAAATATTTTTGATGTTTCAATGTAGTTCAATATTCTTTATCAATAAACCTCAAAAAGTTACACAAAAATGGGCCAACTGAAAAGATCAGACAACCTTTCTTTTTGCAAAGAACTAAAAAAAAAAACTCCCGTTATTGTAATATTCCCTTGCATTCCAATAAATCCATATTAACTAACAATTCTACTGCATTGAGTTTCTGTCCGCAGGTGCCGCCACATCTGAGGCAGCATCACTATAAATATTTACACGCCTCATGCTCCTTATGCTATTGTGTTCGGTGATTTTTGGGGTGTCTAAACCTAACATGATTAAGTATCATTAGAAACAGATTGGATTTAAATACACGGTTTTATTCTTTTATGTGCATAAAAGAATAAAACCGTGTATTTAAATCCAATCTGTTTCTAATGATACTTAAAGCCAAATTTTGACAATTTGGCCCCACCATACCTCAACACCTTGTAGTCATGCATGAATCACACACAAATACTGTATGCACACACACACACACACACACACACACACTTTCCCTTGCAATAGCATGCATCCAACATATAAACATAAAAACAGACAACACCCAAAGCATACAAAAGGTGGTCCGCAGGCACATCTATAGTACGTGCACACAAACTAACCGCGCCCTCCATAGAGTATTGAATAATAGATTAAGGCTAAGGGGGGTGGGAGGTGATTATTCTCCCCAGGACTGCCCCAGGACATTAGAGGTGGGGGTGCAGAAGAGCAGACTCATTACACATTTCCAGTTGCTGTGTTCTGGATTGCAAACGTTTTCTTTTGTCATACTGTGAAGAGCTGAAGCCGCACTAAAGGGTTAAAACTACCCACTTCTGTTTATCGTGTTATTGATTACAGGTCAAGGATGCACAAGGTAGGCAGGGTACGTGTGTATGTCTGTGTGAGTTGGTGTGTTTGTCACTCGAGGTAAATGTGATATATTTGACAGGAGGAGTGGTCAAAGATAACTTCATAGAGCTTCACCAAGGACTGAGACCCAACTTCTGTATGCATTACCTGTCAACATTTTGTGAATTATTACCAGAGCAGAGCAAGACCTTGATTAAAACTTTAACACTGACAGTTTATATACACCTTGTTGTTCATCACTCGTTGGATTATTCTAGGCTAGCTAGAATGATTAAATAGGAGAGTTTAAGGAAGT